GGGGGGGGGGGGGGAAGACTAACACACTTGCCCATTACGTGAAATCCCAGCTGCTATTCTCTATAACTGATAGAGGAACAGACCCAAGGACTGTCTAGCATTCTGTTCCAACAAGAGTTGCAACAGATGTATAATATCACCCATATGCCCATGGTAGGGTTCCACTGCCCCTATATTTGGTCTAATCCTGATCTCTAGTTGTCAGGGGATGGTGGTGGAGTAGTGAAGCCATCTAGTTCTGTCTCCAGAAGATGAGCTTGAAGCCTAACCCAATCACGTGCTGAAAACTGCCTCTGCTCAAGTCAGCCATAAAAAGTATATGGCTCTTCAGGCTGGGGAATTAAGGCAGGCAGATGTGATGTTAACCATTTTGCTTCCTTGTGTACTACTGCCTACAGAAAGCACCATGTCTCCACCACACTAACTCAATGGGCTGTGCAGTCAGAGTGAACTGCTCTCTCCTTTGTTAAAGTGGCTCAGTTCCTGAGCCAATGAGACTTCAATATCCTATCCAAAATTCTTGTCCTTAAGATTGTTTCTTCCCTCCCCCCTTCCCAACACACGCACACACCAGATTGTAAAACAACTATTTAAAAATGAATTGTAGAGGGTAAAAAGTTCCTCGTGCACACTTGCCAAGATCAGACTCCAGAAAAAAAAATATATTCTTTTTCTTAGGGTAGGGGGGGGTTTCTTTTAAATGTATAAATCTGGTAAATCAGACTTGTAATCAATTTTGGTGGTACTTAAGCTGTCACAGGTATGGCAGATGTGGCTAGCTCATCCTTTTCCTTTTTTGCTATTCCCAATAGAAGCTGCTACAAAAGCTCTTGTGTGGTGTGCCTTTCCCCTGGGTTATTTTACTCAAGTCTTTCTAACGAGTAGGATGAATAGGGCACAGCAAATTCTGCTTTGTGAGGTTTTGCTACAGCGTGGGCACAATCACCTGATTCATTACAATGTAGACACAGCAGTTTGTCTACTTTGGGCCAGCACAAGGTGAGCAACTGGCATACCTGATCAACCAAGGAGCCATAGACTTTTTTTTTTTTTTTAACACAGATGCTTTTATAGTTTTTTAAAAGGAGCTAAGTAGGTGGTGCCATTGCTTATTCACAGAGAAATCTGTTAAATAGCTAAAACTATTTTGTAACCCAAATGTATAGGATGGCATCTATAAAGACTAAAAAAGGCCTGATTTTGAGATGCATTGCGTTTTCATTCTCATCTATGCAAAATAGCTGGGGTGATTCAGTTGTACAGACAGGAAATGACTACTCAGAGAACAAAGCAATGTCAAGGTGGACCCAGACTGGCAGCTGCAGTTTCAGGGGGCCTTGTGGAATAAGAGACTTAAGTATCTTTACTATTGGTATTACAGTACTGCCATGGAAGCCAAACTCTGCTTGAAGCTTCCTTGTCCAAGCATGTAGTAAGTGACCTTGAGAAAGGGCAAGCTAAAAGGACAGACACAAGCCACAAAGGGTAGGTCATGAATTCATCCTTATTTACAAAGCAGGGATCTGAACTAGGGAGATGAACAATGATTCAAGGCATGGGTCAGAGTTGAGAACTGAATACTGATCTCTCTGCTCCTGCTCGAATATTTACTACTTAAGCACCATCCCTCCTTGAGAGGCATGTGTACAAAAGCTCCCTAACAACACTGTTCAGGCAGTCTCTATTCAAAATTTAGCAGAAATATTTGATTTGCTCAATCCATTTCTTTTAATTTATTGTCCCTTTGTTAATATACTTGCCAGTAAATAAAGTTTTTGCCCTGAGACTCTCTTGTTACTACTTACTTCAGGGTTATGCATTTTCTATTACAGAAGTGATTGATGTCATATAAAAAAGTAAAACTGGAAAGGACCTCAGGAGGCTATCTACACTCACTCCATAGTGTTAGGGTGACTGTATTTGGATCTTGGGGAACGTTGGATTTGCAGCAGAATAAAAGGCCTGTGGCCTAGCAAGCTGTTTAACCACAAGGCAGAATGATATATTAAAAGTAACATTGCAAGATGCTAGGCAAGTATTTTTCTAACAATATAGTATTGTTGTAAGATATATAGTTCTTATATATAAAATTTTGCTTATGAATGCTTATGCTAAGTAACCATCTTAAATGTGTCAACCATTTTCAAGCAAGTCTGCGTGCTGTGAATGAGGTGAAGTCTTAGGAATGTGGAAGATGGTATAACATGGGACTGAAAAACAGACTGGAATGTGAAAAACAACACGTAACTGGTAACAGAACCCAAGATAAACATATGCAAAAAGGTGAATAGTGATTGGTGAAGATGTCTCCAGAAGCTTCCAGGTTTTGGTCAAAGTGCGCCCAGTGACCAAAAAAATAAAGTCAAGGTCTTAGATGTGCTCATAGCAAAAAGGCATGTAAATGAATGAAATGCATAGGCAATTCCATGCTAATGAAACGGTAAACGGGCAGAGCTTGAAATAGGAGGGAATATGGGTGGAACAAAGGAGGGACCAAGATGGAGTAAATGTTAATGATTATGAACCAAGGTGTATAAATGTGGAAAGAACTAATGTTCGTTGCAGGTCCCTGGTTTGTTGTTTTTTGGGGACCTGGCCCGAAGCTGTATCCATTCTGAATAAAGCTGTTGTGAGCAATGTGTGTGGGTGCTTGCTCCCTGAGTGACTGGATTGCCCTGGTTGCTGGGTGCCACATGGAGTTGGGGTCTAACACATAGCGAGCCTAGATTTAAACCACCTGTCAGGCCATCCCAAACAAATGTTGTTCTAACCTTCACTTTAAAAAAAGAAAAGGAAAGTAGAGTTTCTATGGTCAATGTGTTACTGTTCATCCAACCTCATTCTTAAAAAGTTCTTCCTAAAATCCAACCTAAATTGCCCTTGTTGCAATTTAAGCACATTACATCATGCATGCACAGGAATGAACACTCAACCCCTCTTCCCCCTTCCAAAAAAAAAAATCCCCAAAACTGTAAGGTTACTCATGAACAACTCTTAGTAAAACTGGTGACTAGAAAGTTAATATAGACATCTTCAAACTAATTTAAATGGGGAAGAAGTTTAAAATGTATATGATGGGCCAAGAGACTGGACTTTACAAAATCAAAGTTTAACTGGCTTTTCTAGAAGGCGTCTGTTAAAAAAAGATTCATACTATAAATCGGAATTAGTCAGGGGGCTAGGCTGGATTAGGCTCAATTAGTGACAACCAACACAAGAGAGTTAAAATGCATAAACAGACTATTCAACAAAATGAAGACACCTGGCTTCATTCTGTCCTGCTTCATAAGGAAAGACTAAGGGTCACATAGGAGGCTTTCTTCTCTTTAGCACTGTTGGCTCTTAAAGCGCTCATTCAGAAACAAATTAACATTTAGCTTTGGCTTATAGCTGCTAATTGTCAGCTGTCCTACCACAGGAACAATTAGTGAAATTAAAAATCTGGCAAATGCAAAACCTTAAGATGTAAGTTTTTCCTCTGTGCAGTACATAGCTGGACACTAGATGTTATTTCCCACAGTGCGCCAGGCTACTTGGCTGCCTCTTGCTGCACCTGGGGCCTTTTTGAAATCAGCAGCTGTGGGGTGGGCTGTGCCTTAATTGATGCCATAAGTAGGAAGTAACTGATCGTTTAAAAAGCCAGGCCTTTTTCCCATACCTCTTCACTCCATGCACTACTCCAACTACAAGTGTTCAAGGGAGAGAAGGTTGCTTCTCAGACATCTCCAAGACCAGCAGGTATGGAAGTGGCTATAGACTGATGGATTTACAACCAGGGGAAACCCCAGATAGAGCTTTTAAATGTAAAAGTTATGAAGTCTTGTTGTTGGCTTGCTGTTCTAGCAATGCAGTAGTTACTTTCTAATACCAGTATTCCTGAGAGCTTTCTCAGTGCTCAGGTTTAAAGAAAACAACTTGGAGGAAGTGTGAAATATCTTGCACAAAATGCCTTGTATCATGTATATTAATAAGATTTTTTCAGACAGGATGAACTGCAACTGTTAAGAGATGTCTTATCTCTGCTTCCTTTTTCTTAGGAACTGTACTCTTAAAACCCAAACCAAATCAAACCAAACCTTGATTTAACTAAAAAAGAAAAGTTTTGTTTTGTCATCCAAATTTGGAAAGGTGCATTCTTGTCCTGTCCTGGCTGAAGGTTGAACTGCTGTGCACAAGAGTGTTAACCTGTTAATGTCAGAAGCAAAAATAAGAAGCCTAGCAAAGCTACAGCTGGAATATTATATAGCCTGTTAAAGGCTGCATTGTCCCCTTTTATGAAGCTGCAATGTTCCCATGTATTTAGGCTGGGATTATCCAAGGGGCCTAAGAAAACTTGCTGTTCAACTCTTGCTGACTTCGGGCACTTAATCCCCTAATACTTTGGGTAATCCTGGTTTATGTGGGCATGGAATAATAAAGAACTGTGAGCAAGTCTAGGGTTGTGCGGGATGTTGTTATACATAAATTGGGAGGAACTGTATAGGGTTTAGAATGGAGCTGGCTCTCTCCAGCTATCTCCTCTCTCCTTGAAAGGCTCCTGTGCCCTTTAGTCTCTGTGGCTGTGAAAAATTCAACTGACAGAGGTGCTTGGTTCAACCTTGGCTTCCTAACTGAGGTGTAGCCTTCAGATTGCAACAAGCAAATTCATGTAGTAAACAACAGTTGTGTAACAGCCTCCCAGAGCTCAACTAGCAGGAGCTGTCACTGCTGGCTCTCTTACATCTCTGAAATGTGTATGTGATCCACCTTGTCTACTGAACAAGCTCTAGGGCTAGGGACAGAAGTTGCACAGAAACCAGTTTAAGTGGTCAGAAACCGGTTCAAATCTGTAACGCAACAGAAGTTCAGTGCACTTAAACCACATTCAAAATGGCCAAAACTGGTTTAAGATAAACCTGGTTGGATAAATCATCAGACTGAACTGATTTAGGTCAAACCAGTTTGTGAAACTTCTGTCCCAGACCTAGGAGTTAAAAAATATTGCAAGTTTTCTATAGCTTGCATTAAAATACATAAGTGATTTGTGTACATAAGCAGGGTTTCATTGTCCACCTTTGTTAATTGGCTGAACTACTAGGCTTTGCATTCATAGGTTAAAATGGAGGGAAAAAACTTTAGTTGAAGAGTCAATCGTAGCTTGGCAGTCCACTTTCAATAATCGGCTTAAACAAGATTTGATGCATGTAGTTGCAGCTTTGCTGACCTATGATGTTATTAATTTTGGGACATACCGTTGCTCCTGTGTTGCTTCAGGGTACCTAAATGGACGAGCTACTTGTATTCCTTTGCTTTCTAGTAAAGTACTGCAAGAGCAGGGAACTGTTGCAATTCTCAAAAGATGTTTTCCATGTCTGATCATTAGCCTCATCTTTCTTATGCTGCTGAGTTTTAATTTGCATGTCAGTTAAACTGTCATTGCATCTATTGTTAAATACCAGCAAAATCTGCATCTTCTAACATACAGCTGTGGAGCCATTTGCTCAAGTCTTTTAACAGTGGATGCCGTACCTTTTAATATAAAGCATTGATAACTAAGATATTCCAGTTAATCATAATGGAGGCTGTCAAGTGCTTCTAATAAAATGCCCGATGAAGGGTGACTGCGCCCAAAAGCTTGCTAAGGACTCCCCCCTAAACTACTTGGTTGGTCTAACAAAAGATATCACATCTACCCAAAGAACAATGCCTGCCTTTATTAAAATATAGTATTATGATGAGTAACTTCCATCACTGATGCACACACTCTGCTACTTTTCTCTTGCCTCTGCTTCAGTGGCTTTTGTCCTGCTTTAGGTAATTCCTCACTGTAACAAGCAAACTTATGTCAGGCAATCTGAATTGTACAATTTGACTAACTGCCTGACCCTGGAGAAAGCAACACAGCTGTCCAGCTTGAGGTTCATCAGAGGACAAAATCTACTGGCAACTTTTTTTTTTTTTTGGTAAGAAGCATTCAGGATAGCAGCATATACAAGATGCAGCATAACTACTTTGCAACAATACTATTGTAAAATCTTTATTTTGTGTTGCTCCTGTACACACAAATCAACGAAGCCAAGAGGATGCCAACGCAGAATCCAGCGCTAGAGAGAACTGGCTGCAAAGTATCCATTTGTGACTGTTTTAAACATACGTGGTATGATATAACCAGTCAATAGATCCTTCAAGTGAACAGGACTTGCAAAGCCAATGCCTCTGTTTATTCCTCTTGCCCATCGGCTTTCTCTATAGGTGAACGGTATACTGGAATGTTATGGCCATCTCTGAGTTTCAATGTAACATCCTGGAGACGCCAGCTGATGCAAAACAAAGTATTTAGCTTTTAATTGATAGACTTTGCCTCAATATTAAAATCAATTTATAAATTATAAATACTAGGCAGGAAGAACTAAATCCTCTAACACATTGAATGCTTTTTTCTTTTAAAAAAACCCCCAAGTCCTAGTTGTAGAAACTTGCACCTATCATCCAAGTTTTCAAATACCTCTAAATTAGACGCTTCTGTTTCTCAGTATGGCAAGTCAGCCCTTGCCTAGGTTGTTTCTGCCTGTGGAGCCAGATCACATTACTGAAGGATTATTACAGCTTGGAAGCCTTTGGCATCCCTTTCTTCCTGATCGTGAAGTTGACATGAGGGTAGAAGGAAGAAGCAATTTACTAAGAACAAGCTGAGTAATTTAGAGAGACCTACTGATGCGGTACACAAAGGGACACCCTTCCACTCGTCAAAGCTCTGGTCCAAGCTAACTTTTGTGAACACAGTCAGCATTAGTTTACTGGTCTGGAAGGATGGTCCCAGGATGTGATTTTTTCTTTTTCTCATAAGTACTTGTCTCTGAACCATCACTCCTGAAATAGACTTTGAACACACCTATGTTACTTTGTGGTTGAAAATGTGCACCTCTGCTGTGTCTGTTTCTCATACATTCTAGACCGGGGTGGCTAACCTGCGGCAATTCGGAAGTTAATATGCATCTCCTCAAATCTTTGCACAAGTTGGAACACTTTTTTTTTTTTTAATACTGTGGATTCCTGTTTGAAATCTCTGGGTTTATCTTGTGAATCATGCACAAAGATTTGCAAACAAACATACGGTGACCAGCTTCCATTTGGTGACCATCTTCCAAAGTCCCTGTGTGCTTGTGCAAAGATTCAATATTAACTTCTGAAGAGCTGCATGGGGCTCCAGAGCTGCAGGTTGGCCACCCCTGGTCTAGACTCTAAAGCAGTGATTCTCAACCAGGGTGATGTGGCACCCTGGAGTACCTTCAGCTCCTCCTGAGGGTGCTACATGGTGCCATGCAATGTTAGCCATTAGGTTTGCAAACATGATTCGCAAGATAAACCCAGAGATGTCAAACAGGAATCCACAGTATTAAAAATCTTCTGAGTTGTTGTGGTCTTTCTGAGATCTTTGCAACCAAAGGTTGTAGTAAAAAAGAGTGAAAACTAAGAGCTGGCATTTTCTGAGGGGTGCCTTGAGTCTAAGCAGTCTGGAATATCTTGCATCTGAGGAGATTGTGAACTACTTGAAGGTTTTGTTGTCTACACACGATATTAAAAAAACAAACAAACAAGCCAACTACATAGCAGGGTTGCATGGGTACAGTTGATATTCTCTCGAGTAATTGAGAACTAGGTGTTTGAAGAGTCCATCAGTACTACCAGCAGTAACTATGCAGGACCAAGTTTTTTGCCACAGTTTTTTTGCCCCCTTTCTAGTGGCAAAGATGTTCCTGAAAAATGAATTTAAAGTATGCTTCCCCGGCACTCTGTGCACACTTAAAACTCATCTGTTTTAGGCACTTCTATTTAGCATTTAAGCGTCTCAGTCTTTATCCTTTCAACATCCCTAAGGAGTAGGGAAGTGCTGTTGTTCTCGTTGAACAAATGAGGAACTGAGGAATGGAGACAGTAAGACTTGGCTTCTCAGAGGGATGCAGACAAACTGTAATCAAGGGGATTAGTACTTCTATGACTCGGGAGGAGCTGATCTTCAGTAACCTACCCAAGGTGGGACACTCTCCATGGCAGACCAGATCAACAGGAACCTGAATTGTGCAAGTGCTGCCTGGTGCCTTAACTGATGCACTTCATATCTGCTTCCCACAAAAATTCTTAAGAGCAATATGGTAAATCCTCCTTGTCCGTTCATGAGAAGTTATACTGTATGGCTGACTGCAGCTAAAAGAAGTGCATCACTACTGGATTTCTAAACAACAAAGCACTGGGTAAACTGAGCGCACAATGTTCCCTGACCTCATATCTCTTTTAATCTCCTGAAACCTTTCTTAATTCTCCATGAGATGAGACTTCTTGCATCTTTTTCTTAATTATTGGTTCATTCTTGGAAATCAGCTTGGCCTTGAGGGGGTGATTTGCTGGAAACATTCCAAGTCACTAGATCCATAATATGGATTTATATATTGTGGTAGAGAGGTGATACTTTTGTCTTAGCCTGATTCATCTTTTGGGGGAACTGATGAAAATGATGTAATCTGCAATTAACCTCCGTGGGCTTCCTAAAATCTGAGAACAGAGCAAGTTTTATATTGTAATACTTAAGGACAACCAGACTTCTTTATCTCTACATTTTCCTATTGGGTGGAGGGAAGAGGTTAAGTCTGATTTCAGTGGGCCACTTTATACACTAAATAGTGGGCTACAGTCATGGGCAACATGGTTACATTTAAAGGAAGGGAGTACTGGACATGCAATTTTGACCCAATGTCTTCTGATGTGTAGTCAATGGATAGGACATCTAAAATAGACTAGTTAGAGAGGAACATAATTTTGTCACTAACAGCCTACGAATGTAGCATTTCAGAAGCTCTTCAAATGCATTTCCTCTTTATTTTCATAATACCTAATAACTGAAGCAAATGTCCTGTCCTCTTTCCCCTGCTTGTCCCATCACAAAACTGCAACATATGTCTCTCCCACCCCCTCCATACATACCTGTTAGGCTCTCTCTCTGAATTGATGAAGAGATACCCAGCTGATTTGGTTCCAGATACTGGTATCTTTACCTGCAGGTGGTTTAAAAAAAAAATTGCTGAAAGCCTTTCACTGACTCGCATGGCTGAAAAGTGTTTTTGTTTTTTTCATAGTCAAGAAGATGCTAAAACAAAATCTTACTCTTGTAATTTAAACTTGGATGTTCTGACACTTCTCTGCTTCACTAAACTTTAAAGGGTGGGTGGATGGATGTGGGGCAGAGACGATTTACTTTTGTGTACAAACCGATGGTAAAGAAACATTCTCTCTCAAGACTACAGCTCTCTCTCTCTTTTTTTTGTTTTTGTTTTTTGTTTTGTTTTTTTGTTTTGATTTGTTTTTAAATGAGTCATCTTTGTAAATACTTTGAAGATTGCCTGATGACAAGTGTCTATATAATTGTTTATGACAATTACAAGAGTGTGGGTTAAGAGATTCAAAACAGGACTCCATTAAAATGAATGGAATAGTGCATCCAAATCTCTCTGGCAACTCTGAACGCTACCCTGAACATAGTAAATAAACCAAGCTACAGTTGCATGCTGCCCTCCTGCTAGCACTCGCAGTCTCTTATTTGAAGAAAATAAGAGGTTAACTTGTAGTGGCATCAGAAATAAGTGTAAAGCCTTCCCAAGTGGGTCCAACTGGCAGGGTTTGGGAGTGCAGTGGAGATGGTACATCAGCCTGTGAAAGATATAAGGATCTTGCATTGTGGTCTAGTCAGCTATTATGGCTGTGAAAAGATCATTCATTCACTGTGATAGAGGGCTCTGAGTAATGAGATGGAGAAGAAAGTTGTCGGTTTACAGCTTAAGAGATGGAAGATAAAAAGGTTTGACTTCCTCTTGACTCGCTTAAACCTGAGTAGTACTCTTAAGGTGGCTTACAAACAGGGAAATCTGTGTGGTGGAGCAGGCTTGATGTTTTCTTCATGTTTTTATTAGAAATTGAAGGCTTGCCTAGACGGCTCTAAGGCAGAGGTGGTTAACCTGCTACAAGTGGTGCAGGCAGTTCCTGCGTGTGTCATGCAGCAGATCGGTGAGATGACAACAGGCAGCAGAGTGGCTGGTTAGGCAGGGACTGCAGGACGGAGGGTAGGGTGCAGACTAGCAGACTGGGCAGGAGGAGAGGATCTGAGCTGCACCTCTTCGAGGACAAGGCTTAGTTTGTGGCACACCTGTCAAAAAGATTGGCCTCCACTTCACTAAGAACACTTGGAGAACCAGGAAGTTTGACATGTGTGCAAAATCTAACTGCAAGGAGAGGAAGAGTGACATGTTATTCAGATGGTTTTAGGGTTCCTTTGAAAACCCTGTAATGATAATGCCCTACACTTGGAAGAAAATTATTGATTCAAAACACCCTGTACTCCTCTACAGAGTTACTGAGATGGCTCTTGGGTTCGCACTGGAAACCTCCAACAAAGCCAGGGAAGATTAGACCTTTCTTGCCTACATTTAGATTTTTCTCTTTGGCCACTGAAGTTAACCCATGATACAAAGCTCTGGTGTAGACATCACATGCCAAGTGTGGCTTGCTGTGACTTCAAATGAAGTCACTGTAGGGGTGTGTATCCTACTTGTGCAATGTAGATGCCTATGTCCCAAGGAAAATCTATGAACCTTAGATGCTGCAATCCCAGAGGTACTTCTGAAAATTTTACCCAGTGGCTCTGTAATGCTGTAGTTAACCTAATGGCCTAAAATCCCATGGGAGGCAATGCTTTAAGTAAAAAACCAGCAGGAGGAGAAAAGTCTTATGAAGGAAAGGAAAATTCCTTTTAAACTGCCTGTCTATATAATAAATAACTATGAGTAGGTACATTGTTTCTTTTCCTTCACCACTCAGTTTTTTTGGTGAGTCTCTTTTTTTTTTTTTCCCCAAGAAGAATGGAAAATGAACAACAATGCACCGGCAGGATGGCTAATGAAAGCATACACATAGATACAGGCATTGCCATATCCAAGAGGGAAGCAAAACTCAAAATGGTTTGCTGGGATCAAGTCGGGGCACTAGATAAGCTGCTTCATCCCAGAATGGATTTGTGATTTTTCATGTGCCAGTTCTTTCATCAGTCAGAGTATTTTTATTAAGTTAAATAGAGAGTTGTATGTCAGGAGAAAAGCAAACCTACTGCCTGCATTTGAAAAAAGATGAAAGAGAAGCATTCTGGGCAGCCACTGACCTATTGGTCTTCCTTCAACAGGATGTCAGGTTTTTAGAATGAGCTGTGAAGAAACAAATAATTTAAAGACTTGGAGGTACAAGGAAAATGGGATAAAAAGTGAGACGACAGATCCTGCTACCCTATCCCAGTATCAGTTTCTTTGATAGGGAGGAGGCTAGATGAACACGTTGCCAGGGTTGTTTGACCCCAGTACAGTTTCCTGCCATAGCAGGGGGTTGGACTTGATGATCTGCTCAGGCCCCTTCCAACCCTATGAACTATGATAACTGAACCTCTTCTTCAGACAAAGGAAATGAAGATTTTATCTAGTTGGACTGTAGCAGATGAAAAATTTAGTTAAACTGGAGAAGTTGGTATTAGCCCAAAGATTGTAAAGTAGGTGAGGAGCTGACTAAAGGGGGAATGAAAATGCACTGAACTAAAAGGCCTGTTGGGCTAAACAGATGGCAAGCTGAGTTTCTCAAGGACCTGTCTTGGGACTGAGTTTATTTTATGTTGGTCATTAATGACCTTGACATGGAAAGGCAAAGGGTGCTCATGAAACTTGCTGATGACAATGTGAAGGGGCATGAGCAATAATGGGAAAACCAAAACATCAAACAGAACAAACTAGCTGGCCTTGAGTTCTGGGCTAATAGAAATGGGCTAAAATTTTAGAAGAACAAAGCCTGAGGCTTGTACTTGAAGACTAATCAGAGCTTCTGCTATAAGAAGGTCCCTCAATCAGTTGGAAAGAGTGGAGGAAAAAGGCCTCTGTTGGTCATCTGGACTGACTGAAAAATCTGTGAGACATTGCTTACCAATACAATTTTACTGTTGCATCAGTGAGGGATTTCCTGTAGAGATGGGGAAGCTTTGAAGCTACCATACAGGGCACAAGTAACACTACTTCCTACATGCTATGTACAATTCTGGTCAACCCTTGTCAAGATGGATAGATAGATAGATGTGCAGAGAAGAGCTCTGGGATGATCGGAGGAATGGAAAGCTCACATAGGAAACTAAAAAGCTTGGCTTGTTTACATATGTGCCTACCCCTCTGCATTTTACAGAGCACATTAAATACCCAGAAGAGAGAAGAGGCAGTTCAAGTTAGTCTGTGCCAACACTCTCTTTTAGTATAGACTGAGGCTGGAAATTGAGAAAAAGGTTAGTAATCATTGGAGGAATGAGGTCTGGAACAGCCTCCCAAATAAGCAGCGGAGATGAAGATGACAACTGTTTTCAAGATGGACTTTGTTAAGTTTATAAAAGGAATTATTTGACCCAGTTACCTGTGGTGGCTAGGGACTTAGTTCAATGACTCACCAGGTCTCTTGTCACTCTAAATTGTTATGTAAGCTAGCAATGTGAAAGATTCATTCTTGATCTTCTGTCTCGTATCATATACCAGAGCCAGGGGCTTTGGAGATCGCACCCCCAGGCTCCATAAGAAAATAAGGGGCACAAACCCTCTTGGCTCTAAATGAGGCTTCTGTTCTTAAGTCTCCCACTTCTAAAATAATCTCACCTTTGGCCTCCCCTCTCTTTACCCCTGCCCCCACTGCTAAAGAGCCATGCTGAAGGGTCACAGCTGTTACCTGCGCTCTTTCCATGTCAACACGGTTACTCCTGTCCGTCAATCTGATGCTGTGCACTCTCAGTGGGGGCGCACCTAGCGCTTCCAGGGCTGTAGGTTCACTGTTAAGCCGCTCAAGACCCTGCTGATAATACTGTGTCCTGGTAAAACTTTCTAAGCAAGAGAGACAGACCAGTGTAAAGAGATTAGAATGCAGAACAAGAGGACACACCATCTAACCCAGGGGTCAGCGATTTTTGTTTCTGGCCAGTGCTAAAACACCTGCAAGCTCAACTTTTATAAGATGTGGGTGTGCCAGTGATGGACAGTGAGGGAGCCACAGGAGACCCAATCCTTGTTGTGGCAGTACAACCCCAGCCCCTTTGCCATCTGCCCCTAGGCACATGTGTCAAGCAAAATGTCTTCATGTGCCATGCTCAGGCACCCATGCTGGAAGTTGCCTACCCCAACCCTAACCTCTTCTCTTTCCCCCAGTCTTCCTAGAAAACGGAACAGCTTTCACCAACAGTTGTTTGTTCAATAGGTTCAGGATACCAACATTGGAGAAGTTCCTGCAGTAAGAGAGGGCTGCTTATACAAGATATTTAGGTGACCCAGCCCCTGAATTTTATGACAAGTGAAATTGTGTGTTTAAGAAAAGACCTACTGCTGAGTCTGCTTGCTGTTCTGATTTTCTGTTTGCTACCCACAAAAACGATCAGCAGCATGAGCTCTTAAAACTGTTCTGAATCAGTTCAATGTTTCGTTTCGTTTTTAAATGAACTGTTTAAAAAAAAAAAAAAAAATACTCAGGAACCGAAAAAGTCCACTGGCACTAACCTAGTATAGCAGCAGCTGCCTTTGACCTCAGAGGCTCACTTGAGCCTTAGCCCACAGAAAGAAAGTTGATCATGCTTGGAGGATTCATTGGAGGGGTACCAAAAGATTTTCTCAGTAATCCCCAGGAAAGACGGTAAAGTACTAGCTTTGCAGCATGGTAAGTGAGGGGTCACAATGTGGCAATGTAGAAAAATACTGTGGCAGTGGAAAGACATACTGTAGTTTGGCCATGGGGAAATGTCTTCTACTAGCAATCACTGTTGGCAGGGAAGAAGAACTATTGGTCCTAGTGCCAGAAAGGTTTGCCTGAAATTGGTTATCAAGGAGCATCTGCTGAAGACTTTCCCCCAGAAACATGCGTTACTGAGATTCCCTGCGCTCCCTGAAATCAGTTGGTATGTCAGACAATGCTGCATGTGAATGAATATCCTACTTTGACTACTTTGCTCCTACCTCCCCTGTCTTGTCTTAAATCTTCCAAGGAGTCTCCCTCAGTGCTCTGGAGGGAGGCAGTTCCCAGAAAAGTGTCAAGCAAACCTTTCTGGCCCTAAAAGGGCCAGCAGTTCTTTATCCCTCCTTCCCCTGCAACATCCATTAGTAGTTAATGCACAGTACCTAGCGGGATGGGGCTCTGTGACTCTACCTTAGACTTGTCTGTGGGTCTATATTTCCTCTCCTCTCTGTAGCCCCTAGCAAAGAATGGCCACTCTCCATCTCTGTCGGAAAATGGCAGCCCATGGTAAGCAGCTACCCAGGCTGCTTTCAAGCATGCTGCAACCAGGCCCCCCTACAGCAGCAGACCCTGGGTGGGAAACTAGCTGGTCCCCTAAACCCCTTCCCATTCTCAGCTGTGCCCAAGATGCTTATGAGCCTTATTTAGTTTGAAATATTTGTCTTGCTATTTGTAGTAAGCCAATGGAGCAGGGCTCACTGAAAGGAGAGCAGGTACACAACAGCTAGCTAGGATGAATGTCTGCCTCAGACAGAGGCTGAAATGAGGGAGTTTACAATATATTGTATACATGCAGATATTTCAGAAGGAATGGGGGGAGAGGAAGGGAGGCTGCATGGGTTGTGGGTCTCGCTCCCTGCCACCATGCTATCTCTGTGTCCCTAGAGGTTCTGGGTTTCAACCAAAAAAGTTCAACAAAGGACCAGTTGCACATATGATAAGAGGAAGTACAAGTTTCCCTTGCTTTATGTGGGTTCTGTATGTGCAAATTTGCTCTTATGCAATGACCCTTTTTCTACCAAATTCGTTATATGCGAGGTAAATTCACTTGTATGCGATCGGTGCAGTGGAAGCCTGCAGTCAGCTGCTTTGTACGGTGCATTGTGGGAGTAACGCACACCAAAATATAGTCTTGTGTGGATCTGTGCTCCTTGCTTGTTGTCTACGATGCATGTTTCTGTAGCTGCTGTCCCCATTATGATAGTGCCCTGTGCTTGTGTGTACTGTCTGTTGTTGGTGAGTACCAAAATTGTCTTGTAAAAGTGGTAGAAATGAGTCTGGAGGTCAGTACAGTCGGTGTCAGAATGTATCCCTATTTGTTACATTGTAAAGTGGGTTCCCTTTATGTGAATTCAAGTTATGCACCATTTTCTAGGAATGTATGTACAGTATAAAGTGAGGGAAACCTGTAGTGTGATTCACTGGCAATAGTAAAGTCTAGAAAGGAAAGTGGTGGCGGGGAGAAGTCTAGGTTCAAACATGGCTTGTCTTGGCCCTCCAGAAGGGAGAAGCAGGAACTGGAACATCATAGAAACCAAACAAGCAGACTGCTGGCTGCTCATTTTCAAGACTAAAGATGCAAAACCAAAACTACCTTGCAATGTGGCACCTTCTGTTCCTGTTAAATGTTAATGACAAGCCTAACTCTAAATGAAGGCTGTCCTTTTATAATGAAAAGCCCCCTTGCCTTGTAATCCAAACTAACAGAAAGAACCTTATCTGATGATCGATATTTCACCAGAGCAGCAGCTGTGTGAAGTACCTTGATTATCTACCTAAATGGCTTGGAGTTAAAGTATCTGCCATGACAGTGAAAGTAAATCCTTCAAGACATTTCTAGATGGGAATGTTTAAAATATATATATTTGCCAATACCCTTGTTAAAGCCAGCTTCTATATTTTACAACTCGGAAGCTTATCTATCTGTCATTAAGACCTGCATTTCAAAGCTCAAGGGCATGAGTTGTCTAAAACGGAGGGCTGCTTTCCAGCTATCTGATTTATTAAAATGTGCAAAGACAACGGGGCAGTTTCACAACCCCCTTATCCAAGGGCTTGACGAACAGGCTCTGCCACACTTCTCTGGCAGTGTCCTCAGATGTAAGGTTAAGCAAAATGCCATTCCCTTGCAGTATCTGTCAAATCAGATTGCACGAGGAGAGGTAGCCTGGAGAACTCTGCTTAATGGAAACAAAGCCTTGTGCTGTATGATTAGAGAGAACCTGGGGACAGGGAAGGGGAAAAGATCAATGGCTTGCACTAATTATGTTAATTTTCAGCCAGTCAGAAGTAGCAAATAGATGATGTCTTTTGGCAGAGTTATAGTAGAGTCCAAGGGGCCCCATCCTGCTGAATGCTATGCATTCTCAGATACCAATGACTGCCTGCAGTAGATATTCATGATGGTCAGCAACTCAGAAGATCATAGTCATCTTCAGGGACCACAAACTGGATGATTACAAACAGACCAGACTTCTGAAGTGTCCACGTGTCCTTCACATAAGGGCTTCTCTCCTAAGATGTCTGTGAGGAATGAACGTTTTATATCTGCTCCAAAAAATGACAAAAAACCCTCCCAAATACCAGAATTTCCACTGACCACAAAAGCCTGCTTTCTGTACAGTGCATATGCTGAGGTTTTTTTTTTTTGAGACTACTGTGACAGCGCTTTGGAAAGTACCATTATTTTGTGCTTTAAATAAAGCTGAGTCTCAAGCTGCAGGATGCTGTATAGGCTGGCTTGATAAATAAAACCTTTTAAGTTCAACTTCTCTTCCCTTCCTCCCCCTTATAATTCTTGCTTATTGAAATCTGAAATGCTAATAGTCCCCTACACACCCTCTGCAAAGGGAAGATATATATTGGGAGGACAGAAATAAGGTTGCTACCAGCAACAGGACTTACTTTGCATAAGATGATACATAACAACACACGAACTACCACCAAAAATTCCCAGACAAATAGCTATTTTCTGCAGTCGTCTTAAAACGACTGGCATTTTTTTCTTCCTGGGGGAGGAAAAGAAAAGATATTTGTTGTATCAAAGGAAACCTAAAAGGTGGCTTGGGGGGGGGGGGTGTGCACGTGTTTCCTCCCCCACCCCCTGCACGTTCTGCCAAAGTGCTTTCAATATAGCAAAATAGTTCTGAACAAAAACACTACGTGTAGCAATCAAGCTCTCTCTCTGGGGCCCCACAGGGCAGCCGGAGGAAATCCATGATGAGAACTGGGCACCTAAGCAGGGTAGAATATGTTTATTCACTTCCTTTAGTGATGCCACCACTTCACTAATTGCCGAGAAGAAAATGACCTCCTTGGTGTGGCCGACGGCCAGAAACGCAGCATATTGTTCTCATAGCCTCCCATACATCCTCAGCAACAGTGCGAGTATTCAGACTCGGAGGGCTAGATTTCTCTCTTGTGTAACTCCACTAAAATAAATGCACTTGTGGCAGGGGTGAATTTGGTCGGAAATCTTCAGCTGCAGAGCTAAGCTACAGCCCTGCCAGTGAAGATAATGCTGCTGTGTGTCTTAAGTCATGGGTAAAATAGGATTGCAAAAATCTTCCTTGTGCTTCCTCTTTTTTTTGCACATTTTAATGAGTCATGGTTGTGGCATCCATCTGAATGACACAGCGGACACACAGTAAATGGCCGGGCTAGCAGAGAAATATTAGTAGACAGAATTCTTTTGCCCACGTGGTTTGATTTTCTTTTTTTTTTTTGTCCTCCCGTGTCGATTCTCAACAAGTATAAAGACAGTACCACACTGCTTGGATCCACATTACAGCAAGATGGGGCTTAAAGAATCCTATCCAGATACCCCATTTTTTTGGGTGAATGCTTAACAAGTAATGGGTAAGTGAGGGGAATAATCCAAACCCTGTTTCCAATGGCAAAAACCCAGGCCTAGTGGTGAGAGAGAGTAAATGTTTGGAGGCAGTATGGGCATTGCCACCTGGATGCTTTAGCAGGCTACATTACCAGCCTTAAAAGCCTCCATCCCAAAACAAAACCCTTGTCTTGCTGAAATGATAAAAATGGACTATAAGCTAAACCTATTTGCTGAAGTAGAGTGCTAAGCCAATTACTGAAATATGATCTAGGCAAAGCCACTTACTTCCTGTTATGAAAATGGTCTCCGTCATCTCTCGTGTATGCATTAGTCAAGCCTTGCTTTACCTGAAGAACCACAATTTAAGGGTGGGGTAACAAATGCAAAAACCTCCGCCCATAATGCTCTGAGCCAGTGTGTGACATAAGCATTGTCTGGCATGTTCCCCACCCTGCCTGCAACAGACTGTTTGCCTGCATTTCTCTCCCTACTATGTTGCATGTTCTAGTCTAAGGGAAATGGGAAACTTAACCCAGAAATAGCTTTCACCTATTGCCTAATGTGCAAAAGCAGCTTTCTTTTTAAAGGTTTAACTGTAAATTACACTGTAGCATACCTTTTTTAAAAGTAGTCTCTGCCAACCAGATCTCTTGAATCTTCTGCTTTTTAAAATCTTCTCATGGAAGAGCTGCCCTGAAATCAGAATAATGCATAACCCTTTCACATTCAGTTAGTTTTATGTGAAGACTTTAAAAAACAAACCCTTAAAACAGTCTAGGGAGAGGCAAATATTCTTATCCCCCTTCTGCAGATAAGATGATTGAGGTAGGAAGGTCAAGAGACTTAAACCACACACGGTTCCTGTTTCAGACCTGTGAATAGTTCCTGGACCATTAGACCAGTGGGGAACCACCATTTTTGCAGGTGTGCTACAATGATCCCCCTCCCCTGCCTGATCTACTGCTCTGCTTTCTGCTCCCTGCCCTGTGCTCCCTTCCTGATCTTACTGCTCTGCTTCCTGCCCTATCTGCCACTCTGCCATGTGCCACAACCAGAGGTTGGCCATCCCTGCACTAGATCATGGCAGTAATCCTAGCAACTATTTTTTTTTTTTTTTTTTTCTCCCACCATTTCCTATCGGGCTCCTGCTCCAGAAAGCAAAATCCAGTAAGGTCCATTGTGGCTTCCATATCCTCATGCCCTCCCATCTCTGTGGTCATTAACACAGGTTTTCTTTTCCTGCTCCTCTCTAACTGGTCTTGCTCACAGTGCTACCTTTACAACTAATCTCCCCCTTCACATTACTCAAGTGCCTCAGAAAGGAGGTGATTAAAATCATTCTTGTAGAGAAGCTGCAAGGACCCATGTCCTCCTCTTAAAGGAAACGCTACTTCTCACAAATAGTCACGTTCCAGAGTGTAAGCAACACCCAGTAGAGAGAGGGGGATGTTTGTGCAACAGGCTTCCTGAGTTGCAGCCTGCTTGGGATACTGCCCAGTTGATCCCATCAGACTATTACCATGCTGGCTTGACCAGACCTACATGAAAAGCTATAAACATCTCTAATACCACTACCACCACCACCATTTTACAGAAAGAAAAGATCTAAAATGTATGAAGCTGATTGAGTGTAACATGTAGCGACTTCAGGCATTTATGTCCTTTTTCCAAACGGCAACCTAGAACTGTCGCACAATTTGCTCCTTGCGGAGAAATTCAAGGTAATGGTATACAAATCCCTGTACTGAGGGGCACCAGTGACAGTTTGATGAAAAGATGCTTTGAGTGCAACTCCAGCTATGTTAAGTTTAAATAAGATGGATGTGGATGATCTTTCATGCTTGCTGCTGCTGCTAAATGTCAGTGTCTGTCTACTTTTTCCTCTCAACAATATGACCATGGTGCCTAACAACATAGGACAGCATGATGGAACATGCATTTATGCCAAAGACCATTTATTTCATACATCTGCCGTAATGTTCATTAACCAGTTGCACCTATCCACCAGATCACTCTGTGCACAGAAACATGAATATTTCCCTCTTGTGCAACTAGAGGAAGCAAGAAGGCTTATTGCTAATATATCTTTCAGAACAAATGCAGTCTGGCAGCAAGTGATTTATGAACCTAAATGGTACAGCAGCCTCCTCACCCAGGCTGTATCTGACATACTCATGTGGCCCAGGTCACCTTGATAATCTGAGTGTCTTGCAACCTTTGTGTAGTTATCCTCCCAACACTCCTTGATGGACAAAAACACTACTGTCCTGAGTTAGTAGGTGGGGGAACTGGCTTACACAGAGATGATGAGCCAGACTTTTTAAAGATAACACCCACCAAAATCTCTCAATTCTGATTTTTAAAGTACTTGGCTTACATCACACAGGAAGCCTGTGGTGGAGCAGGTTTCCTAAACCCCCAGCCATCACAAGTTCTGGGATGTCCTCCCACATACTACTTGTCTGCCTTGCTGAGTTACCTCTATGACAACAAGCAACAGAGAAATTCAGTCTTGTCAAGAATGCTAGTTTTATTGAACCTCTGAAGAAGTGAAAATCTCCTTGGATAGTGTCAGAACCCCATTTAGTGACCCTTGACAGAATGACTCTTAGAAATTGGTTTAACATCACGTGAACCACTGCATGTACATGAAATGAGGTTTTTATAAGGGGCCTTTTTTATTGGCAATTAGTGGAGCAAACCCCAGCCTACTTTATGGAAATTTTGCAGAATATAAAGACTACTTGCTGTATTTGCAGAGGGTTAGGCTTCCTTTTCTTTCTCATGAAGGTCACCTGTGAACCAAACAGCTGAAGCATCCCATTGAAATTGCTGACTCTTCAAGCTACAGCTAACACAAGGATTTGTGCTCACCTAGGGCATAACTGTGTGTGCAAATTAAAGCTAGATAAAACCAGCTATAAAGTGATTACACACTTTCCAGCTCTAACTTTTTATAGGTGGGTGGACCTTTCTATGGCATGATTAATTAATTTGCACATGCAGCCTGTTTAAATAACTTGCACAATTAACCAGTTAATTGTATAATGCAGGCAACATGTAGAGGGGGGCTTTATTTGCCATTCTAACAATATAAAGTTCTGGCCCAAAGAGATGGCATTCAGACTCGAGGTTGAAGCAGAGTTGGGTTTGGCCTGAACTGGGTAGCGCTGAGCACTGGAATTTTCCCTGCAGCAGCTGATTTGATATTAAATATCTTTTAAAAGTGCATCTGACACAAGGGATTCTCTGAAATTTGAGGAGGCTCAGATTGCAGGTTCTGGTTTCTGCACCTCTCAAATTATTCGGGCCATTATGTTTATTCTGTTACTGGCTGGCTATTCATTCACAGGAGCATGATGGAGAGTGGCTGTGAAACGCGCTTACAATAGGATATACACACATCTTATTTGTCCAAAATGTCTTGGGCTGAAGTCCCTGAACAGAAAAAAGAAATGTAGATTGTAAAGTGGGGCAGAGACAATCCTTCAGTCATGAGTATACAATAGGATTCTGATGCAGGATGAGGGCTCCTAGGCTGCCTACACATGTGCTTGGAGGTGAGGGAGGAGGCATTTTTAATTAGGGTGGTTCTCAGAGAAACACTTTAATTACAATGGCTCACTTGCATGTATTGAGCCCCACCATGTTTCAAAATGGCTGTGGGGGTACTTTAATCTAAAGACACAAATGAGCTTTAGTTAAAGTGCCCCTACAGTCATTTCACAATGTGGGCAGGATTAATACATGTGATACTGAGGTGCTGCTAGAGCATTTTAATTAGAAAGTGAATGAGCAAGTCTATAGGCAACCCTAGGTACTACTGTTAAGTAGCTTCCACGAGTTCTATTCATCTTGCTGAATAGTCAATGAGAAGCTAATTGAGCTACATCTTAAAACTGTAGGTGACCACTGCTGATTTTAATTTTTCAGGTCTCTACACTGACCACTTCCTGCTGCTCCCAATTATCCTCTTTCCCCTCTCCTCAAATAAAATGCATACTGGGTTGTATTAATAAGAGCATTGCCTGCAAACCAAGGGTAGCGATTCCTCCCCTTCATTCATCAGTGGTAAAGCTTCACCTAGAGTACTGTATGTTTGGGTCACCACCCTTAAGAAGGTATAGAAAAGCTAGAGTCCAGCAGAGAGCAACAAAATAATTTTGAGGTCTAGGAAACATGGCTTATGAGGATAAATTGGAAGAACTGGGATTAGTCCATCTTCAAATTGCTGTAGGGTGGCTATAAAGAGAATGGTGATACACTGTTCTCTGGCCACAGAAGACGAGACGAGGAGTAAATGTCTTAATATCCAACCTAAAATTACTCTTGTTACTGTTTAGGAAGAACTGCTTAAGTGTGAGGAACAGAGTACCTAGAGAGAGAGTGGAATCTTTCCTCTTGGAAGTTTTTAAATAACAGGCCAGGCAAACGCTTGGCTGGAATGGTTTCCATGGGGATGTTCCTACCTTGATCAGGGAGCTGGACTAGGTGACCTCCTGAAAGCTGTCCAGCCCTCTTTCCCCCCCCCCCCC